TAATAGCTATTTCCTTAACACTTTTCCATTTCTAAAACATCCTTAAAGAAAATCATATATGGGGTCACATCATCCTTATGGTAGTCCAGCAAAGCAAACATCTGGATTCATGTTTTCACCAGTAAAGAACTGGTTTTTTTGACATTAGCAAAGGTGTGCTTGATTTGTTTTGCAGCCCCTGTCATAAAAGCTTTTCATCTTTCTGGTCTCTGTTCTTCAAGTTTGCCTTTGGTTGATTTCATGTAATCTTTGATGTACTTCTTGTAGGCTTCTTTTGTAAAGCTGGTTTCCTGCAAGTGATGGTTCATGACAATATCAGCACCAGTGATTTCTGTGCTTTCAGTACTGTTGCCTTCAGGGCTTTCAGTGGAGGCATTTCCACCAATGAGCAGCAAGTCATCATTGTTACTCTCTGTCCTACTAACCATCTTCCCCTCTATCTCCAGGCACAGGCCATCCATGATCTCCTGGATCTTGCAGATATTGGAGAACATCTCATCATGGCTGATGAGGTCCGGGTAGATGATTATAATAGAAGCTGGAAAGAGAGGAGCGTGACGCTAGATTAGCAGGAGCTGGGAGCTCTGAGTCCATGGTACAGCCTGGGTGGCACTCAGTGGGAGGAGAAGCAGGCAGAAAAGCTCCCATCTCTATTTGTTGATAAGACGTCCTTTCCCCATTAAATGTTCTTGGCACCTTTGTTAAATATAATTTGACCATATATGCAGACATATTGCTAGGATCTTTATTCTATTCCATTGGTCTATTTGTCTGTCTTACGCCTGTACAGTGTTTTGATTATTGTAACTTTGTAATGTTTTGAAACCAGGAAGTGTGTCCTCCAAATTTGTTCTTTTTCAAAGTTGTTTTGGCTATTTTAGTTCCCTTGAGATTCCATATGGATTTTAGAATGTTTTCTCTATTTCTGAAAAAAATATGTTGGGATTGTGATAGGGACTGTATTGAATCAGTAAAGCATTTTAGGTAGTATGGCCATCTTAATAATATTAAACCTTGAAATCCATAAATATGGGATGTCTTTCCATTTATTTGTGTCTTTTAAAACTTCAGCAATATTTTCTTATTTTTTTGTGTACAAGTCTTTCACCTCCATAGTTAGGTTTATTTCTAAGTATTGTATTATTTTGATGCTATTGTAAATGACATCGTTTTCTTAATTTCCTTTTTGAATTGTTCACAGTTCATGTACAGAAAAACAACTCATATTTAATTTTTGATTTTGCATCCTTCAACTTTGCTGAATTCGTTCTTTAGTTCTATCAGTGTGTGTAAATGTGTGTGCAAAATCTTTAGCATTTTCTACATATAAGATCAAGTAATCTGCAAACAGATAATTTTACTTCTTTTTAAAAGTTTTTATTTAAGGGGCACCTGGGTGGCTCAGTTGGTTAAGCGACTGCCTTCTGCTCAGGTCATGATTCTGGAGTCTCTGGATCGAGTCCCGCATCAGGCTCCCTGCTCGGCAGGGAGTCTGCTTCGCCCTCTGACCCTCCCCCCTCTCATGTGCTCTCTCTCTCAAATAAATAAATAAAATATTTTTAAAAAAGTTTTTATTTAAATTCCAGTTAGTTAACATACAGTGTAATATTAGTTTCAGGTGTACAACACAGTGATTCAACACTTCCATACAACACCCAGATTCACAAGTGCTCTCCTTAATCCCCATCACCTATTTAACCCATCCCCCTTCCCACCTCCCCTCTGGTAACATCAGTTTTTTCTCTATAGTTATGAGTCTCTTTCTTCATTTGCCTCTTTTTTCCCTCTTTGCTCATTTCTTTTGTTTCTTAAATTCCACATATGAGTGAAATCATGGTATTTGTCTTTCTGTGATTGACTTATCTTGCTTAGCATAATACACACTAGCTCCATCCATGCCCTTGCAAATGGCAAGATTTTAATCTTTTTATGGCTGGATAATATTCCAGTGTGTGTTTGTGTGTGTGTGTGTATACACACACCATTCTTTATTCATCAGTCAATGGACATTTGGGCTCTTTCCGTAATTTGGCTATTGTAGAAAATGCTACTATAAACATCAGCGTGCCTGTATCCCTTTGAGTTAGTATTTTTGGGGGTAAATACGTAGTAGTGCAATTGCTGGGTCTTAGGGTAGTTCTATTTTTAACTTTCTGAGGAACCTCCATACTGTTTTCCAGAGTGACAGCAACAGTTTGCATTCCCACCAATAGTGCAGGAAGGTTCCCCTTTCTCCACATCCTCACCAACACCTGTTGTTTCTTGTGTTGTTGATTTTAGCCATTCTGACAGGTGTGAGGTGATATCTCATTGTAGTTTTGATTCATATTTCCCTGATGATGAGTGATGTTGAGCATCTTTTCATGTGTCTGTTGGCCATCTGGATGCCTTCTTTGGAAAAATGTCTATTCATGTCTTCTGCCTATTTTTTAATTGGATTATTAATTTTGGGGGTGTTGAGTTGTATAAGTTATTTATATATTTTTGATAATAACCCTTTATCAGATATGTCAATTCCAAATATTTTCTTCCATTCAGTAGGTTGCCTTTTAGTTTTGTTGATTGTTTCCTTTCCTGTGCAAAGCTTTTTATTTTGATGAAGTCCCAACAGTGTATTTTTGCTTTTGTTTCCTTTGCCTCTGGAGACATATCCAGAAAGAAGTTGCTATGACAGATATCAAAGAGGTTACTGCTTGTGTTCTCCTCTAGGATTTTTATGGTTTCAGGTCTCACATTTAAGTCTTTAATTCATTTTGAATTTATTTTTGTGTGTGGTGTAAGAAAGTGGCCCAGTTTCATTCTTTTGCATGTTGCTCTCCATAGACTTTTATATTTTTTAATGTATGCATTAACAGCTATAATTTCTCTGTTAGCATGGGTTTTGCTGCATCTCATATATGTTGGTATGTTGTGTTTTTGTTTTCATTCATCTTTAAGTATTTTCTAATTTTCCTAGTAATTTCATTTTTGACCTATTTGCTATTTGATCTTGTTTAATTTCCACAATTTGTGAATTTTCCAGTTTTCCTTCTTTTATTGATTTCTAAGTTAATGCCACATCATTGAAGAAGATATTTTGTATATCTTTCTTTTTAAATAAATCAAGACTTGTTTTATGGCTTAACATACAGTCTTTCTTGGAGAATGTCCTATGTGCACTTGAGAATAACATGTATTCTGCTTTTGTTGAGTAGAGTGTTCTGTATTGTTGATTAGGTCTAGTTTGTTTATTATGTTGTTCAAGTTTTTTATTTCCTTACTTATCTTCTACCTACTTTACCCACACATTACAGAAAATGATGTATTGAGTCTTTATTACTGTAGAAGTATTTCTCCCTACAATTCTTCAATTTTTGCTTCAAAAAGTGTCTATTAGGTATGTAAATATTTGTATTTGTTATATCTTCTTACTGTATTGACCCTTTATTAATATAAAATGTCCTGTTTTTTATAATCGCTTAAAATCTATGTCTATTATTTCTGGTATTAGTATAGCCAATACAGCTTTCTATTGGTTACTATTTGTATGGAATATCTTTTTCCGTTCTTTCATTTTCAATCTGTCTGTCTTTGGAGATAAAGTGAGTCTCTTATGGAGAGCATGTAGATGGATCATGTTTTTTTATTCTCTTCTACAAATCTATTTATTTTGATGGGAGTGTTTCATCCATTTACATTTAATTATTGATAAGAATAGGCTTACCTCTGCCATTGTTATTTATTATAAGTCTTATAGCTTTTACACCCCTCATTTCCTCCATTATTGCCTTCTTTTGTATTGAATTGATTTTTGTAATAAAATATTTAACTGCCTTCTCATTTTCTTTTGGATATATTTTATAGATATTTTCTTTGTGGTTACCATGGGGATTACATTTAACATTCTAAAGTCATAAGAATCTAATTTGAATTCATTCCAGCTGAACTCCAGTAGCCTACAAAACTTTCCTCCATACAGCTCCATCACCCTTTCTGTTATTATCACAGATTATATCTTTACACATTGTGCACCCAAAAGCATAGCTTAATGATTGCTTTTTTACTTGTGTTTTAAATAGTATTTTAAAATGTGGAGTTACTACCCCAAATAAAATGATACTAGCTTTTGAAATTGCCCTGTATTTATCTTTACTATAGGTCTTTATTTCTTCATTTCTTTATTTCTAGTATCCTTTTCATTTTTTTAAATTTTTTTTAAAGATTTTATTTATTTATTTGACAGAGAGAGACATAGCGAGAGCACGAACACAAGCAGGGGGAGTGGGAGAGGGAGAAGCAGGCTTCCTGCAGAGCAGGGAGCCCGATGCGGGGCTCGATTCCAGGACGCTGGGATCATGACCTGAGCCGAAGGCAGACACTTAATGACTGAGTCACCCAGGCGCCCTCCTTTTCATTTTAATTTGCTCCCTTCAGCATTTCTTGCAGGGTATATCTTGTGGAAATGATCACCTTCAACTTTTGTTTATCTGAGAATGTTTTAATTTCTCTCTATTTTTTTAAAAATAGTATTTGCCCTATAAAGAATTCTTGGTATAATTTTTTCCTTCAGCATTTTGAATATATAAACTCACTACATTTTGGCCTCCAAGGTGTTTGATGCTGATAATCTTAAGGAGGATCCGTTGTATGTGACAAGTCACTTTTCTTTTCCTGCTTTCAAGATTCTCTTTGTCTTTTTCCTTTGGTAGTTTGATTATAATGTGTCAGTGTGGATCAGTTTGTTTTTCCTACATGGAGTTCATTGAGCCTCTTAGATTTGTATGTGCATATCTTTACTCAAATCTGTAAAGTTTTCAGCCATTATTTCTTTGGATAATTTCTGCTCTTTTTTTTTCTTTCAAGTTTTTATTTAAATTCCAGTTAGTTAACATACAGTGTAATATTAGTTTCAGGTGTAGAATTTAGTAACTCATCACTTATATACAACACCCAGTGCTCATCACAAGTGCCCTCCTTAATACCCATCACCCATTTAACGCCCCCCCCCCCCCCTCCAGCAACCCTCAGTTTGTTCTCTATAGTTAAGAGTCTGTTTTCTGGTTTGCCTCTCTCTTTCCCCGTCCTCTGTTCATCTGTTTTTTCTTAAATTCCACAATTGATTGAAATCATATGGTAGTTATCTTTCTCTGACTTATTTCACTTAGCAGCAAAGGAAACAATCAACAAAACTAAGTCAACCTGAATGGGAGAAGATATTTGCAAATGACATATCTGATAAACCATTAGTATCCAAAATAAATACAGAACTTATAAAACTCAATACCCAAAAAACAAATCTCTGCTCCTATCTCTCTTCTCTGGAATTCCTACAATTGTATATGTTGGTCTATTGGTCAGCTTGATGGTGTCCCACAGGTGTTTTAGGTTCTGTTCACTTTTCTTCATATTTTTTCTTCCTATTCATGAGACTCAATAATTTCCATTGCCCTTACTTCAAATTAACTGATTCTTTTTACTGCTTTCTCAAATATGTCTTTGAACTTCTAAAGTATATTTTCATTTCAGTTATTTTAGCTTTCAATTCCAAAATTTCTTTTTGGCTTCTTTTTATTATTTCTCTTTATTGATAACCTCATTTTGTTCATACATTATTCCTTTCTCTGTCCATGTCTTCTGTTAGTTGTTTTGAAGTCTTTTTTTATGTGTGAAACCTATGCTTCCTCAGGTAAGTTTTTTGTAGATTTATTTTGTTCCTTTGAATGAGCCACACTCTCGTGTTTCTTTGTATGCCTTATGATCTTTTGTTGAAAACTGAACATTTGAATCTTATAATGTAGTAACTTTGGAAATTAGATTCTCTTTGCCATATCCAGGATTTTGCTGTTTTTTTAATGTTATGGTTGTAGGATGCCTCTTTGCTGGAAATCAGCCTGAGGTGAAAGTTTAAAGTCTTCTCAGGGCTTTTCTGAGACTGTGTCTTTCCTTGTACATGCACAGTGGCTTTCTAAATTATCGTGTATATGCAGTTGTTTTGAATGCCCCCCCTCCCGCCCAAATACCCCAGGTGCATCTCCTCTACATACCTTGGAAGCCACCTTAGCTGGTAGGTGCGAAACAATGACCAGCCTCTGTACTTGCATCTCAGTGATCTGAAACTATCAAAAATCAGAACACAAACACCAATTCTTAGAGGACAATGTCTTTGCTGTCCACCTTGGCTCCAGCAAGTCATGTTTCAAATGCAGGTTTGTGTCCCACAGCTGCCTGCCATGAGCCTGGAGATTGGAGAATTAGTAGATGCTACCAAACTGAAGGCTGAAATTGACTATTATCCATAGTTTATCAGCTAAGCTTTCCCCTGAAAGCTGCAAAAGTTCAAATAGAATCCATAATTTCAATCTAGTTACTTCAGACAATTTTTACCAGTAAAATTATTTTCTAAGTGGAGAGATGGTTTCATGGTACTTTCTGCTCCACCATCTTCCCTGATACTACTCCCCAGATACCATTTTTGAATAATGTCATGCTATCTTTATTATATATAAAATCTCTGTATTTATTTTGGTCAGTTTCTGATTTCTAATCTGTTCTATAGTTCTATTTTTAACTCATCACCAAATCATCTCATTATTGTAGTTTCATGATAAACACTTATACATTTTAATTTCAATATCATATTTTGAATGTAAGGTCTGATTGAGGTATTTGTGTTACACTAAGGAAGAATGAAATATAAGACACTAGTGAAATGCATGGTTCCTTCTAGTTTTCACGATCACTGTGAAATTCAGTCTGTGTATTTTATCACTTTAACCTAGTGTCTAGCATGGTGCTAATCACAGTCACTACTTGACAGAAGACGAGGATTACTGGGTTTTGTCTCTCAGATAGCAGCTCTTCATGCATGGAAGTCCTGCCCTCAGCTGGCTAGATGGTCACACACTCCGAGTACTCTTCCCTGTTAACTGCTTTTGCCTTTTCTTTCAGATTCCAAAGACAGGAGCCCACAGGAGAACCTAACCCTTTGCCTTCCTGGTGTGATGCTTTCTAGTCTGGAAAATATGAGGTAATTCTTGTGATATTTATAAAATTATCCAGAGAGGAGTGAAGCTGTTGGCATCTAATATTTGAGTGAGTCTTTCTAAGTGAATACACTGTCCCTTCTCATTGGCATCTGCATTCCCTTTAGAATCCTACAGAGCTCACCATTATTTGTGGTTTAGATGCTGCCAATAGCATTTATTAGTACTAAACTGTCACTTTTTTGTTATTAATATGAAATAGACAGACTGTCTAATGTTTTAAGCCATGATAACCATCATCATACACACATTTTATCTTGTCTCATTTGTCTACTTAATTTCCTAATTATGTATGTCCACGAGTGCTGGACCCGAAAATATGGACCTCCTGTTTATTTATATTATAAAATTATTTCTGCATTAAAGTCATATCATAGAACAGTCCTTGCAGCAAGTTATTGGCATGCTTGTTTACTCAATTCCTCTTATTTTATGTATCCAACATTTAATATGAAAAGCCTCACCAATGTCATAAATGAAAACCAGTATTTTTTTCATTACATATGAATTTAAAGATTCTTTTAATTCTTTTAATATTTTAGTTGGTCAATCTTTATTTCTTGTTTTGTTACAATTCATATTCTTTAATCATTTTCCCTCTCCTGGTCCTAAGATAAATACCAAAGTTGGTTAAATCCAAGCCTTGTGGTCTTGTCATGAATGACTACAAAGCTGCTTTGGGAGGCACTTATGCATAAATTCTTGTCTATTACTGATCACTTGTAAGGCAACTAACTGTGGCTAAAGCTTGAAAGATGGTCTTTGACAGAAACTAGACCCTATCCTTTTGTGAAATGTCAGGATGGTTACATTTCTCACTCCCCGATGCCTTTATATTTAATTCCAATCTGTATATTGTAAATTGGTAAAACTTTTCTGGGTGCCACCTGTGAAACTGAATTAAATTTAGGCATTCTATCTGAGTCAGCATTGCTACTTAAAAAAGTGAATCCTAATGTCATAGTAAAGGATGTTTCCAAAAATTTAATTAAAATTGTCATCCTTTAGTCACCAGCTTAACTCATCTGTTACGAGATGGATGGAATTTATTTATTTTTTATTTTTTAAAAGGTTGTATTTATTTGTCAGGGAGAAAGAGCATGCGCACAAGCAGGGGTAGCAGCAGGCAGAGGGAAAAGCAGGTTCCCTGCTGAGCAAGGAGCCCAATATGGGACTCAATCCTGGGACCCCAGGATCATAACCTGAGCCAAAGGCAGACGCTTAACCCACTGAGCCACCCAGGTTCCCAGGATGGATGGAATTTAGAAACAACAGGGGTAGGACAGCAATAAAGTTCCAAGGGGAAGCAAATTTGACAGATATCAACAGATGTGTAGTGTGCATGTGCACTTACACATATGCTCAGTGCATACTCACATATACACACAGTCCTGTAGGTCCTGTTATTATAATCATAAATTTGCAGGGGGAAGAAGGAGGAAACCTGTTGATTCTTTGGCAGAATGAGTCAAATGATACACCTGAAACATATACTTTAACAAATGAAATAACTAAAAGAATGTTAGTATTTATTTCCTATTGCTAGTGTAAAAAATTGCCACAGATTGGGTGGCTGATAACAGAAATTTATTCTCACAATTGTGGGGAGCAGAAATGCAAAATCAGTATCACTAGGCCAAAAGCAAGGTGTTGGTAGTGCCATGCTTCCTCCAGAGGTTCTCAGGAACAATCCCTTTCTTGCCTCTTCCAGCATCCGGTGGCTGTTAGCATTCCTTGGCTTGTGGTTACATTACCCCAATCTCTGCCTCTATGGTCATATTGTCTTCTTCCCCTTCTCTGTGTTTTCTCTTCTGTGTGAAGGTCCCTCTAAATCTCTCTTAAAAAGAAATTTATGATTCCATTCAGAGCCCTCTACTAATTCAGGATAATCTGCCCATCTCAATTTCCTTAACTTAATCAAATCCCAAAAGACCCTTTTTTTTGCCATATATGGTAACATTCACAGGTTCCAGGAGTTAAAACATTGGTATCTTTTGGGAGGCAATTTTCAGCCTACCACAGTGTTCATTGCTGTATATTTTGTAGGAGGAGAAGTGAAAATCATCCTAAATGGTCAACTACATGAAATAGTTCAATGATGTCACAGTCATAAGATAGAATGCTTTGTGACCACTGAAATTACTTACGATGGAAACAATTACTTTTTTCTCTGTAAAACTACACACACACACAAAATATAAAGAATGTTAAGTGAAGTAAGTCAAGCAGAGAAAGACAATTATCATATGGTTTCACTCATACATGGAACGTAAGCAATAGCACGGAGGACCATAGGGGAAGGGAGGGAAATCCAAATGGGGAGAAATAAGAGAGGGAGACAAACCATGAGAGACTATGGACCTCAGGAAACAATCTGAGGGTTTCAGAAGGGAGGGGGGTGGGGGGAGGGGGTAATAGGGTGATGGGTATTGAGGAGGACATGTGCTGTGATGAGCACTGGGTGTTATACGTACCTAATGAACCACTGAACACTACATCAGAAACTAATTATGTACTATACAGTGGCTAACGGAACATAATAAAAAAAAAAGCAGGACAAAAAAATAAATAAAATAAAAAGCAAAAAAAAAAAAAAAAACCAAAAAAACCCCACAAAACAAAACAAAAAACACAACAGCCAGTGTTTGCAAAGGTGTGGGGAACTAGACACTGCAATATGCTGTTGGCTGAAATATATATTACAACATTTGGATGATCTATTAGAAATAAATAGTAAAATATACAATGTTCAGGCCTTTTGGTAAAAGTTTTAGGTCTAGAACTTTTCATGTAGATATACATACTTCCTTCTGAAGTGCAAATTGTACAGAGAAAGTTGATCACTGTAGCTAGTTTGTAGTAGTAGAAATGGGAAAGAAGCACAATGTTCCTCACTCAGGAACAAATGGAAGAGTAGGAAATCTTTAAAAAGAGAAAGAGATTAAATCTGTACTTTAAATGGAAAGACAGGCATGATATATTAAATGAAAACCATGGAAAGATAGACTAGATACATCGTTAACCTAAAATCAAGACCCACACTATTTTCTGTAGAGATGGAAAAAGAAAGAAGACACAAGGGATAAATGCTTCTGTGTTGTTGGAATTAATTTACAACAAACATCTATTACTTTTGTAGCCAGAAAGAAGTTATTGAGTTAAAAACCTGAAAATATGGGAAATAGTGTGATGTATCTAGACAAGGCTGGTTCTCCCCCTCCCAAAGAGTTTCCTTGTCTATAAAATAAAAAAAATCTTCATAGTAGTTCCTTAAAGATGTAATGACATAATATTTGTTAGAAACAAGGATGATGAAAATTTAACCCCAAGATATTAATGAAATTGCGGTAAAATATTTTTATTATTCAGTTGTAAACATTTTATAACCTCCACTTTGAATTCTTTAATCCATAGATTGTGAAGTGTGCCTAAATTTCAAAATATTTTTTTGTTTGAAGTTATCATTTTGCTATGACAGAGAACACAAGCGGGGGAGCAGCAGAGGGGGAGGGAGAAGCAGGTTCTCCACTGAGCGGGGAGCCTGACGTGGGACTCGATCCCAGGAGCTTGGGATCATGACCTGAGCCGAAGGCAGACGCTTAGCCAACTGAGCCACCCAGGTGCCCCTTGGTTTCTAACTTACTTGTATAGTGGTCAAGTAACATAATCTATATAACCATTCTTTGAGATTTGTTGAGATTTGTTTTATAACTCTTTCAGTAAATGCTCCAGTTTTGTTTTAAAGAATGTATATACTCAAATTGTTAGGTGCAGTGTCTTACATGTTTTCTTTAAATCAATCTTATTTTGTTGCTGAAACGTTCTATCACTTGTTTCTTATTGTTCCTTGATGTAAGAATTAGTCTTTAAATCTCCCACTGTGATTATGGGCATAACTATTTCTTCATATAATTCCTTGAATATTTGTTTATACATCTTGAAGTTATTTTATTAGGTAAATACAAAATGTAACTGTTATGTATTCCTGATAAATTAGACATTTTATCATAAAGTTACCATCTTGATCAAATTCTATTTTTCACAGTTTAATAAAGTTACATCAGAATTTTTTATTAGCTAGTATGATACATAATTTTTTATTCTCTTAATTTTGATAATTTTGTATCCTTCTTTTAGATACATTTTTTGCAAACAAGATACACTTGGATTCTTTCTGCAACCAGTTTGAAAATCTTTGTCCTTTGAATGTTAATCTTGTTACATTTTTGTAATGAATAATATATTTACATTTATTTTCCATTTTGTTTTGTGCTTTCTACCTTTCTAAACTCATCTGCTTTTCTCTCCTTTGCTGCTTCTGAATTGACTTGAATATTTTTTCTTATTCTGTTTTAAAAATCTGCTAATTCAAAAGCTGTATGTTCTATTTCTATTATTTTAGTGGTTACCTTATACATTCTTATTGAAAAGAATAAAAACCTTCCAAACTCAAAACACTTTAAACTCTAATCACCTCCCAAATCACATTCTTGTCATGTATTTCTTTGCTATGTTTTCGTCTCGCAAGATATCATTATTTTTTATGCCAATATTTCTTTAGATTTACACATATTTTTGCTTTTATTGCTTTTCATTCCTTTTTACATCTCAAGTCATCCTCTTCTGCCTGATTTATAATTTTAAAATTTCTTTTACTGAATTTGCTTTTGGAAAATCTATTACTATTTATCTGAAATGTCTGTATTTCAACATCATTCTTGCATTAATTTTTAATGAACATTTAGAATATACATTAAAATCCAGAATAGAAAACACCTTTATACCTACCTGGATTCAATAAAGGAGGGCACGTGATGTGATGACCACTGGGTGTTATATGCAACTGATGAATCATTGAACACTACATCTGAAACTAATGATTTACTATATGTTGGCTAATTGAATTTAAATAAAAATAAAATAAAATAAAAGAATAAATAAATACATATTTATCTTTTTTACATTTTTTTGGCCTAAGCCTTTAAAAATAAGTTACACCAAAACATGTAAGCCTAAATAATTTAACATACATCTTCAAACTATAAGAACATTCTCCTACATAACCAAACTACCGTTATCACTAGCAGTAAGATTAACTATAATTCTCTATATCTGATCCATTCCAAATTAAAATTTTCCCAGTTGTTCCAAAATGTGGTTTATAGCAGTTTTACAAACCAGGTTCCAATCAAGAATCACACATGCATTAGTTGTCATATTTCTTGAATCTCATTTAATCTACCATAGTTTCTCCTCTCGACTTTTTTCCCATGACACTGACTTTTTGAAGAAATTGTGATGATTATTTTGAACAATGTCCTACATTCTTAATTTGACTGAATATTCATGATATTGTTTCACTTGTCTTGTGTCGTATGTTTCCTATACCCTAAAAATTAGATCCAAAAGCTAGAATCATGTAACTATTTTTTCTCTCTCATTCTCTGGGGGTAGCATTCTACATTGATAGGTTTGTCTCTTTTACATTGAGGGTTTAATTCCATTGTGTTCTGGCTTCCATTGATACTGTTGAGAATCAGCTGCATGTATAAATGGTATTCCTTTGAAGGCAATTTATTTTCTCTAGCTCATATTAAGCTCCTCTTAATTTCGTATATATGAGTTTGATGTCTACAATTTTACTATGATATGTATAGTTGCTTAAGATTCTCAAGTTTTTCTTAAGTTGCTTTAAATTCACTGGGGTTTCTGAAGATGTGGCTTCTATGTTTTTCATTAATTCTGAAATATTCTCAATCATTGTCTCTTCAAATGTTGCCTCTTATTCCTTCTTTTCCTTCTATATGAAATATTCTCTTATTGCTAACTGCAGAAAAAAATAATCAAACCTAAATTCCACTTAATGAATTTTCTCTTCATGTGAATTTAATGTTATAAAATATCAATTTCAATTAGTATACACTGTCATTTGCAGAACTTCAGTTTGTATTTTTTCTAATATATTTAGGATTTTTGTTGGCACTTAATTGATAATTTCATTTCTTTTTTCTAGAAACCTATTAAATATATTTAATACTCTATGATTGAAAATTCCAAACTCCGAAGTTCCTGAGAGTTTTGATTCTTAGAGGACTAGGTCTTGAATCTAATTTCCTCATGTGTCTTTTGTGATTTTTGACTGTGAAGTACATATTTTCCTTGGAAATAAATCTATTGTAATTCTTTAAGGCCTAAGGTAAAGGTAGATCTCCTCCAGGGATTTGCTTGTTTGAGCAATGTACCTAGGTTCATAACTTTTTTGGAACCTCAAAATTGTCTACATATTTATTAGACCACCTAAACAGAGTGACATGAAACTTCTAATATGTGTGTGAGTTGGCTTGATTGAAAATTTTCATGGTTGTGATGTCATTGAAAATGGTGGAGTAAGAAACTCCAAAACACTGTTCTTTACTAAAAGAAGAAATTAAAGTGGCAAAAACTGTCAAAAGCAAATGTTTTATAAAACTGTAATCTAATAAAAAAATACTTACAATAACCAAGGGAACGTTTAATGAGGAAAAAAACTGCTAATTTTCAGTAACAGTGTTGTAGCCTTTTAACTTACCACATACCATCCTACACTACCTAGCTCATAGGCAGCCATGGGGATGGCTGCCTGTGTTCTTGGTTTACCTTGCTTGATCCAGAGGGCAACACAGATCTTATTCTCAAAGAAATGTGTGTTTGTTACCTCATCTCTCTGAAGGTTCCCCAAGGCATTGTCTGAAGACTTGACTTTCTTTTTTTTTATCTATCATGGAATTTTCTTTTTTTTTAAATTTTTTAAATTTTAATATGTTATGTTAGTCACCATACAATACATCATTAGTTTTT